CTACAAAATTCATTAATCTTAAAACTCCAAAAATGCGAATAGGAACCTTGTTGCTAAAAATACCTTTCCTATAGTCAAAATCAAATGTTAAACTCGTCATGGCTATGTCAAAATTTAATAAAATCTTTTGAAAAATAATTACTTTTTTAAGGCAAGCCAAATGACTGAGTATAGGTTTTGGCGTCATCAAAAAGGGGGAAAATTGATAGGAATATTTTTGTAATAAAGTTTTGATGAGCCAAATGTACTTTAGATCCCCTTAGATTTTAGGTCTCTAGTACAAGCATCATAATCCAGAATATCGAGTCAAAGGAAATCTACCATATGAAGAACAAAATTAATTTGGAAAATTAATTTTGGTCCTACGAGTATTCATCCGAGAAAGAAACATAAAAGAATGGCGTTGCAACAAATAATCGGATGAGCCTAATGGCGAAATGGTAGAAGTCCTTATATAAAATGATCATACCTGAGATTGATCCCCCCAAGGATTTATTTTTTACAAGTCAAGATTTCAGACAAGCAAGATGTGCCAAAGGAGCACAATGTCTCAAAAGAGAAAGATGTGTCAAAGGAGCACAATGCCAACAAGCACGATGTGTCCAAAGGAGCACAATGTGACCTAATCAGAAAAACACAATGTCCAAGTCAAACAAGCAAGAAGTGCCGAAGTCAAACAAACACAATGTTCTAAAGAAGCACAATGTGTCTTCTGAAAGGCAAAATGTGGCAAAGAAGCAAGATGATAAGAAAATGGATAAATTCGAAGGTATTTATTTTGAATCTGCCCACATGCCGCAAGAATCCAAAATTGCCTGAAGATATGATCAGAACAGGAGAAATATTTAAGAAGACATGAATATAAAAACTTATCCTAGAAATAAATTCTATCAAAAGGATTTATTTCAAAGATATGTTGGAAATTCAAATTGACAAGAATAATAATATTTTAAAGAAACAACTTCAAAATCAAGTTGAGATAAAATATTATTTTGTCAGGCAAGTTGACAATCAAATCAAAATTGAAGATCTACTATTGTCAACAATATCAGGCTATGAAGATTCAAATTTCAAATATCAAATTATCCCACTCCAACGGATATATTTGATTTCCTATAAAAGGCCATGAAGAATTGAAGGCAAACACACGGATGAACAAGTGCGAATTCTAAAAGTGCAAGTGCTCAAATATTCATTAGAGACTTAGTCTAAATAGTCTCAAAACTAGTTGGAGAGAGATACAATTACCTTTGTATTTGTAATTGTAAAAAGAGTATAGCTGTGTGCAAAATACTCTAGTGAGTGTAGCTGTGTGCAAAACACTCGTAGTTGCTAAGTGTAGCTGTGTGCATAACACTTAGTTGGCGTTGAGTATAGCTGTGTGCGAAATACTCGGAGTTGAGTGTAGCTGTGTGCGAGACACTCGGAGTTGAGTGTAGATATGTGCGAGACACTCAGAGTTGGGTGTAGCTGTGTGCAAGACATCCGGAAGAAGTGCTCGTGTAGCGTTTATTCACTATTGTAATTGTGTGTGGAAAATAGTGAATTACTCCTAGAAGTGAATGGAGTAAAGTGGACTAGGAAGATTACGCCACATGTATTTATATATATATGCATGTACATAAATACATACATATATATATATATATATATATATATATATATATATATATATATATATATATATATATATATATATATATATATATATATATATATATATATATAACATATTTTGTATTATAAATTTGATATTTAATTACAAGATAGTGTAAAAAGAAGACAATGGACAATGTAGTAAATATAATTAATTAATGAATTTGAAGGTAAGGAATTTGGAAATTTTAGAAAATAAAGATAATATAACTAATGAAATTATATCTTTTTTAAGATTTTTTTATAATGAATAATTTTTTTTGAATAAAGTCATTATAGACATCTAATTCTAAATTAATCAATTTCATATTTATTATTTTTTGTTGTAGCTACTAATTTATTTAATTTAATAAAACTAATAAAGTGGGGTACTTACTTTTCATCCACAACAATGATGTCATTGATTTTTTTTTTTCATTCGTTGTTGAGAAAAATTGTTTTGGAAGTTTGTCAATGATAATTGCTACAATTGTTCTCAATAGAGGATGATAATAAATAATTTCAAATATATGGTTACAATGGATATATAAAAAAATTAATTTACAAATTTTTTTCAAAAGTTTTCATGCATTGATAAAATTCTGAGAATAATGTGTAAAATTATTCAATTAGAGTCAGCGGGATGTCAAAATTGTTAATTCTTTGGAAAATGGTCCTACCTAGGTGTAATTGTATATCTGATCAACAACTTTGTAGTTAGATCGCGCAGGTCTGACAATGATGTAAGAACAATTTTGACCAATAAAAAAATAATTATGATAAATTTTATACTGTATTTCTTAACATATTTGTAGTATATGTTTAACAGTTATGTCAACTCTAATTGGGATGAGGTTCGAACTTAAGACCTTTCTTATAGAAATTAATGAGTAAGTTAACAATAATAAATATTTAACGAAATATTCCGTAACTAAAGTTTATTCAAATGAAATATTGAGTTATTTAAGGGAAGAAAATAATATAATAGAGGGTAAATAAGGAAAATCATAAAAAATTACTAAAATCAAAATAATATGAACCATTCATTTCAATAAACAATTACAACAACATTCACTACTGGAAATTCTGAAATTTCCGACCACCAGAAAGTGATATTAAATCAAGTTGAAAGTCTTGTTTCAACCACTTTTGGTATCCGGAAAAACCTTTGTTGCTATTTCCGACCACTTTTTGGACTTTTTGGTATCAACTTAATTTAAGATCATTTTCAGGTGGTCGGAAATTTCAGAATTTCCAGTAGTGATTTTTTGTTCCGTTAATGGCCTAACTTTATTGACTCTGATTAGATTTGTAGATTTGTAAATGTAGATATGGTCATTCATTTATAATTGTTGTATATTTTTTTTGGTATGTCTTAATTAAATTACTTTTAATATATGAATTACTTTCCTATTAATTCTTAAAATTATATATAGTAAATTAATAATATTTATTCGGCATACATTTAATATAACGTTGACTAATAATAGTAATAGCATGTATATTTAATTAGTATTTGATGTAAGCACTTTGTGCTTAGATGGCATGTAGTGGCTCTCCCATATGGGAGGTCTGAGGCGATGTTGACTCTTTGTTCTTTCTCAATAGTTTGAGAAAGTATAAATGCACGAATATTAAAATGTAATAGAGTCAGTAGTATTCACAAAAAAAAAAAAAAAAAAATAGTATTTAATGTTGTACAATATAATTTTGTTGTTTATTCTTTTTTTCTATTTTTGTTGTTTACTTTTTTTTTTCTTTCTTCAAATGCAAGTATCATAGAATTATCTCATTTGAATACTACGTTGCTTATTAATTTTTATGGTAGAAATTATTGTTTTGTTAACTATTGGTCAGCAGGTCAGATACAAATAAAATATTACAAAATACATATAAACAACACATACAAGGGATAATTTCATTATACATTTCTTTAATGCCAGAGATTACAAGTATATTTATGTTTAATTGCTAGAATCGTTAGAAAAGTCATTGAAAGGGTCAAAGAAATTGAGGAATGCTAGTCCAAGTTTCATGGAAACGGGAAAGAAGGACAATAATCCTAGGATACGAAACACGTGCGAATGTACAAATATAAAAAATATAAGTGTGTATTTACAAATATTTTTTGTTCATTTATGCATAAATATTAATTGTTTATCAAATTCTTATTATTAGATATCAACCGTAACCCAAAAGATGATACCCCTTATTTGTGTTAAAACACTTACATAAGGAGATCATTTGACCTTAAGGGCCAAGCAATGGTAACCTAGAGCCTCTACCCTCATCCCATGAGATGATGCCCCTTACTCGTGCCAAAGCATTTGCATAAGGAGATCACTTACCCTCATGGAACAAGCAATAGAGAAGCTCAACCAAACAACCATCCTCCAACACACTACTGGAAATTATAAAATTTCCGACCACCTGAAAGTGATCTTAAATCAAGTCGAAAGTCTTGTTTCGACTACTTTTGGTATCCGGAAAAACCTTTGTTGCTATTTCCAATCACTTTTTGGTATAAATTTGAATTAAGATCACTTTCAGGTGGTCGGAAATTGAATAATTTCTAGTAGTGACACCACAGACAAGCTTCTACCACTTCTCTTTCTTTTCATTCTCTTTTTTTCTTTATTTTGTTTTCATCCAGCACCATACTTTTATCCATTCTTTTCCATGTTCTCGGTTTCATTTCGTTAAATCTTTAATTATATATATAAGATTTTTCAGTGAGATTTTTTTGGTCTTGTGTTTAGTTATTTTCTATGTGTTGCCTTGATCTTTTTAGCCATACTAATAGTCATAACTTTGCTTGTTGGTTCACTTTTGGGATTTCATTATAGAGATCGATTTCTTTTCAGTTCTACTATACACTTGCACTTAAACACTGTTAGAGGGTGAAAATATAGAGCTGAAATAGATGAGGACAGTTTGGTATTTTTCCTTTCTCCCCTTCTGTAATAACTGTTGGACATAAATTAGGCTTGGGCCCTCTCTGTAACACATTTTTACTATCATCAACTTTACCTTTTCTTTCATATCTCCTTCTTCAATGTTAACCGCTATCAGACTTCACATGCTTCCATTGCAATTCCAATATGGTATTAGAGCGTCGATATGGGACCTACGCCACCGCCGTCTCAAGCACCGGTGAGACGAATCAATAGGCGCAAGCAAACTCACACTCTCCAGTTCATAACACTCCGATAACAGCTCCGCAGAGGAGCCTATTCACGCAGAGGAATCAAACTCCAAAAGACTTGGAGAATCCTCTTGAGATCAATATCAACGACAATCCAAATGCTATTCTAGTCTCTCCTGCTCTAACTTGGAGTCCGAACTACGGATCGTGGAGTATATCTATGAGGATCGCACTTGAGGTGAAAAACAAGTGGAGTATAGTTGACGGCTCAATCATCGCACCGACGAACAGTCAGCCGGAGTTTCCCGTATGGAGAAGTTGCAATTTGATGGTGTGTTCATGGATCTTCAAGGCACTTCATCCATCAATTGTGCAAAGCATCATGCATATGGATAAGGCGAAAGATGTTTGGGAAGATCTACTAAGAAGATTCTCCCAACGCGATCCTCATCGCATATCCGCTCTGCAAAGTCAGATTTATACGCTGAGACAAGGAAACATGTGCATCAACGAATATTATACAAAGTGTAAAACTCTTTGGGAAGAAATGAATGATCTGAGACCTCTTACTATATGCAAGTGTAATCCAAGCTGTGAATGTGATTTCATCGACACAATAAGAGAAGAACGCCAAGTGGATCAGGTGATAAGATTTCTTCAAGGGCTGAGTGATGAGTATAGCAGTCTGAGATCAAGAGTCCTTGTGATGGATCCATTGCCGGAAGTTTACAAAGTGTTCGTCATGGCAGAAAAACTTGAGAGGCAACTAAATTTGGAGAAATTGAATCTAAATAGCCTGGAGACAAGTCACGCCAATATTATATAGAGTTCACAGCCACAAATAGAAGAGACAATAACTGCATTTAATAGCTATAATGGAAGAAGAAATACAAGAAACAACAACCAAGGGAATGCTAAATGTATCTTTTGTGGCATGACAGGGCATAGTATAGAGAAGTGTTACAAAAAACACGGATATCCACCCGGTTGGATACCGGGCTACAAATCCAAGAACAAACAAAACACCTTTGCAGCAGCAGTAGACACTGGTAGCACAACAAATGTTGACAGTATGGCAAACCTGGGAATTACTGCTGAACAGATGCAAAAATTCATCGCTCTCTTTCAGTTTCAAATTACACAGTGATCCACCTCTAACACCACTGCAACTGTATCATTAGTGCCAAACTTCACTGAAACAGAATCTGCAAATGAAGGCAAGTATGTTACCTCCCATGTTAATTTTCTCTATTTGTACACTTCTACTTGGATACTTGATACCGGGGCAACCGATCACATCGTGTGCGGCTCTCTTGAATTCTTTAATGACTACCAAGTGGCTAATGGATCGGAGCAGAGGTAAACTTACCAACTGGAACTCGTGTAGCTGTTAAACATATAGGAAATATAAAGATTGGGAATAATCTTTAGTTGAGAGATGATATGCATATCCCCTCATTTCAATTTAACATCATATCTGCTAGTAAATTACTTCAAGACACAACTCATAAGATGGTTTTCTCATCTGGACAGTGTCTGATTCAGGAGATTACTGGGAAGATAATTGGTATAACTAAGTAGCAGAGGGGGTTATATTTGCTGATGGAACCAAATGTGCAGAGTGTTAATCTGCCTAAGCATTTTGCTATGTCTAGTGTTAATATTGACATATGGCACCAAAGATTGGGCCATTTTCCAATCAATAAGATGCATTTGTTGAAAGATGTTCCTATGCATTCTAATAAAACTTTAGCTTGTGATATTTGCCATCCAGCCAAGCATAAGCGTTCTCCCATTCCTTTGAGCACTACTTCTACAAATGCAGGTTTTGATTTGGTGCATGCAGATATATGGGGTCCATTTGTAGTTTCCTCCATGAAGGTTGAAAGATACTTCTTGACTTTGGTAGATGATCATTCAAGGTTTACATGGATAAGTCTTATGCAACACAAGTCTGAGGCAAGATCATTAATTAAAGGGTTCTATAATATGGCTTTCACACAGTTTGGTGCTTCTATTAAGGCCTTGCGTAGTGACAACGGCCCGGAGTTTAATATGTCAAATTTTTTTCATGAAAAAGGCATCATCCATCAGAAATCGTGTGTAGAAACTCCACAGCAAAATGCCATCGTTGAGAGAAAACACCAACACATACTTGCCGTTGCTAGGGCTCTGCGTTTTCAGGCTCAACTCCCTCTTGAATTTTGGGGCCATTGCGTTATGCATGCCACATTCATCTTCAATCGGCTTCCATCACCGGTTATACAAGGCCTCACTCCTTCCTGCAAGTTGTATGGCAAGGACGCAACTGTTGATATGCTTAGAGTTTTTGGTTGCTTGTGTTGTGCTTCTACTCTATCTCCTGGCAGACATAAGCTAGCTCCTCGCAGCAGAAAATGCGTATTCATTGGCATGCCAACCAATGTTAAAGGCTACATCTTGTACAACATTCAACAAATTAAAGGTCCACATTTGTGTCTCGGGATGTAACTTTCTATGAGAATCAATTCCCATATGCCAAAGAACCTTTTCAGGATGAACCAAGAGCAGAGATATTCACCCCTTCATTGCCTAACATTCCCATTTCCAAGCCTATTTCCTATGAGCTGGCTGGGGCAAAGCAAACAGATGATGATCTGCCCAAAAGTGGGCTTAACATGGGGTTGCATAACAGTTTCGAACAAGCAGAAATTTTGGAGGAAGTTCCCAGTCCTCAAAGTAGTCAGGCAGAGGAATTGCAGGCTCCTGGTCCTCAGTATACCAGCAAGTTCCTAGACGATCCAGCAGAATTCGACAACCCCCTAATCACTTGCAGGATTACTATTGTGATACTGTTAAGAGGCATGGCTCATCACCTCATCCAGTATCGAAGGTAATCTCTTTTAGTCACCTTCCTCATACTCACAGAACATTCTCCATGGCAGTCACGAACATCAGTGAACCGCGAACCTACAATCAAGCCATCAAGTCTGAATGTTGGAAAGATGCTATGAATGCAGAGATTAAGGCTCTTCACGAGATTAACCACTCTACCTCCTGGTAAGATCCCCATAGGTTGCAAATGGGTCTATAAAGTGAAGATTAAAGCAGATGGTACAGTGGAGAGATACAAAACTAGATTAGTAGTGAAGGGCTACAATCAACAACTCGGTGTAGATTACATCGAGACCTTCTCTCCTGTGGCTCGCCTCACCACCATTCGTTCATTTCTAGCTGTAGCCGGCCACTTCGAATGCTTGGCACATTCTTCAATTGGACATCAACAACGCCTTCTTGCATGGTGATTTGCATGAGGAAGTTTACATGACTTTGCCTCCCGGGTTCCAATCTACTCAACCTAATCAGGTTTGCCGGTTATTGCGTTCTTTATATGGTTTGAAACAGGCCAGCCGTCAGTGGAATGCAAAGCTTACTAATGCTCTGCTAAACAGTGGCTTCATACAATCAAAGTCAGATCCTTCATTATTCACTAGGGGTTGTGGCTTATCATTCATTGCCCTTCAAGTTTATATCGACGATATTTTGGTTACCAGTGGAGACATCAACCTTATTCATTATGTAAAACATTTTTTGTACATGCCTTCAAGATAAAGGACCTAGGCGGCTTGGGCTTCTTTCTAGGGATTGAGGCTAACATGTGCAAGTCTAGCTTGAATTTATGTCAGCGTAAATACACTTTGGACATCCTAAATGAAGCGGGCTTCATAGATTGTAAACCTGCTAGTACTCCGATGGTTCCTGGCAATCATTTAATGCATGGAGATGGTGAGGCCCTGCAAGATGCTGGATCTTACAGAAGATTAGTGGGAAGGTTATTGTATCTTACAGCTACATGGCCCGACATTAGCTATGCCGTTCAGCAATTAAGCCAATTCATCGATGCCCCGACTGAAAAACATCTCGTAGCTGCTCATCGAGTGTTGCACTACATCAAAGCTGCACCCGGTCAAGGCCTTTTCTACCCAGCAAACAACCCCATTCTGCTGAATTCGTTTTCATATTCTGATTGGGCTTCTTGCTTGGAGACTCGTAAATCCATAACCGGCTATTGTGTCTTCTTTGGCAGTGCTCTTGTATCTTGGAAGTCGAAGAAACAAGCTACCGTTTCAAAGTCCAGTTCAGAAGCAGAGTACCGAGCTTTAGCCACCACTGTTTGTGAAATTCAGTGGCTTCATTCTCTGCTCAAATATTTACATGTGCATTTAACTAAGCCTGCTACCTTGTTTTGTGACAACAAGTCCACTGTGGCGATAGCTGAAAATCACGTCTTTCACGAACGAAACAAACATATTGAGATCGATTGCCATGTTGTTCGTGAAAGAGTCTCTCAAGGCTTCATCAAACTTCTCTCGGTTTCGTCTGATAATCAGGTCGCCGATGGATTCACAAAGCCCCTGCCTATCTCTCCGTTTCGTTTGTTCATATCTAAGTTGGGCGTTGAAGATTTACATGCGCCAACTTAGGGGGGGTGTTAGAGGGTGAAAATATAGAGCTGAAATAGATGAGGACAGTTTGGTATTTTTCCTTTCTCCCCTTCTGTTATAACCGCTGGACATAAATTGGCCTTGGGCCCTCTCTGTAACACATTTTTACTATCATCAACTTTACCTTTTCTTTCATCTCTCCTTCTTCAATGTTAACCGCTATCAGACTTCACATGCTTCCAAAGCAACTCCAATAAACACCTAGGCATGGTAGTTGTTTTTTCATTCTCTCTTTCTTTTTGATTTTGTGAATTGCATATAGAATTTGGTTTTATGTTTCTCCCCTTTCATGTCCAATGTATATTGAGTATATATGTCGTAGATTTTTTTTGAGGAATTATATTTTTTTAGATTTCATTGATCATCAGTCGAATTGAGATTTTTTGATTCCTTGTTTCTTTGTTAGAAATGTTATGTTTTAATTTTTTTTTTTAGATTTGATTATATATAAGATTTTTCTATGAGATTTTTTTCAACTTGGTTTTCATTGTACTCTGTTGCTTTGATATTTTTAGTTGGACTACTAATTTTAGATTTGCTTGTTGTTCCCTTTTGTGGACTTTGTTGCAGATGTCTACTTCTTAATTTTTTGTTCTACACTGGCGAATAAGGATATATTGGCATCACCACAGATGTTGTTAATGGTGCTTTGGCTATGCATACCAAAAGGATTTTGACACCTCTACGAGTCCGTTTGATGGTTTAGAAATCCAGACAGGTTATGGTTTTTAGAGATGATGCCTGTTCTAAAAAGAAACATGAAGAGCTATAAGGAATTGCAGGATGAAACACTTCGCAGCAATACCTATGGTCCGTAACATGGTTAAGTTGGTATAAATGTTTCTTGGAGTAAGGGTTCAGTTTAAAACTTATTCTAACTATACTGTTCACCATTTGATCGATTTTCAAATGTTTATGGGTTATACTCCAGAGAAGTCCCTTAACTAATTTAATTCTCAAGAATATAAGTATAATGTTCTGTATAGTATTTGCAGCAAAACAGCTTTTTGGTGCATTATATTTTGAAGATCATTACTTTTTGCATGTTGTGTTGTTTTTCTGAAAGAAACTTCATAACAATTAGACAACAAGATAACATGAAAAAAGAATGATGTTCAAAATGCACCAAGAAGCTGTTTTGCTAAATTACTATGTAGAACATTATGCTTAGATTCTTGAGAATGAAATTTTTTAAGGGTCTTCGAGATGATAACCCAGAAACATTGAAGATCGATCAAATGGTGAGCTGTATAGTTAGAGTCAGTTCTAAACTGAACTCTAACTCCATGAAACATTTATACTAGTTTCACCAAGTTACAGGCCATAGGTATTGTTGCCAACTGTTTCATCTTGCAATTCCTTAAAAACTCTTTTTGTTTCTTTTAGAATACACGACATTTATAACAAAATATAACCTGCCAATCTTTCTAAATCATAAAACAATGGATGCGTAGAGGTGTCAAAATCCTTGTTTTAAGTTAGCAAAGAAAAAGCACTATTAACAACATTTGTGGTGACGTCCATATCTCCTTGTTGCTGTGTAGAACAGAAAAGAAGTAGACATGTGCAACAAAGTCCCCAAATATAAATAAGAAGCAAAGTTAATATTAGTAGTCCAACTAAAAATATCAAAGCAACAATAGAGCACAATAAAAACCAAGTT